AGCTTCTGGAGGCACTTGATGTTCCTCCTAGAACCGTCCACTCCATAGCTCTGCGGAGAACCTCTCCCCTCATTCTCAGGTAAGAAGGCCAGGTCCTCAACAGGGCCACCATGAAACTGTCTCCTGGAATACCATGTATTTTGCATGTAATCTCTGAAGGCCTGGAATTTCCTCATTTTTAGTATCTTGAAATCTCAGACGTATCACCCTGCTAGAAACTGTCTGCACCATGCTCCACCAGCTCATTTTCCAGGGACTGGTCCTCTTCCTTTTATTCCTATATGATGCTGTGTTCCGCCTGACCCTCTGAGTTTCATCTATTTATTTATCTATCTATCTATCTATCTATCTATCTATCTATCTATCTATCTATTTAGAAATTCAGTATTTAGCCCTGCCTGGTGTCTATTATTTAAATCCTACATTTCCAAAAACATTCTCCCAACCTGCTACTTTAGACCCTCATTCTCATCTCCTGAGGTTGACAGAATTGTCACCTTTTGGTGTTGTTGTGTTTTGAGACAGGGTTTCTCTTTGTACCCTGGAACTTGCTTTGTGGACCAGGCTGGCCTTGAACTTACAAGATCCTCCTGCCTCTGTCTCCAGAGTGCTAGGATTAAAGGTGAGTGCCACCACCACTTGGCAATTTTCACCTTCTTATCTGGAGTTAATTTATAACTGCGGCTTGTCCTTAGTGTACCTCTCTAAATTATCTGTTTTTCCTTGGCTCTAGTCCAATTTGCTACTATCATGACAGCATGGTAAATTACAGGTCCAAGCTGGGGCTACCCAGCAAAAATCCGAATGCACGAAGGCACCACAGTTTTCTGCTTTTCATTTCTATTCTAAGGTATACGTAGGTAAGTGAAATCACGTACATGAATGTGTTTTGCAGACTAGAACACTCTACACAAGTCTATGGTTATCATTATTCATATATTTCTCTGATTAGAAATTTAACAAGTCTTTGTTTACTCTTGAAAATGCAAATGCAGGGACTAGGCTGTAAGTTAGCATATACAAAGCCGTAGGTTCAACCCATAGTACCAAAACAAATGAATAAATATAAACACAAATTAATTAAACTAAAAAGGGAAATACAGAAAGCATAAAAATAAAATAGCAGCCATTTTCTTTGGTACTTTCTTAGTTTTGGTGTAATGAACTGCCACAAGTTTGCTGGTGTGAGGTGGCACAAATGAATGGTTCAAAGTCACTAGTGTAGTGTCCTCCCCTCTCCCCGCTCTCTTCCCCCCTCCCTCCCTCGCACCCCTCCCTCCAGCCTTCCTGCCTTCTTAAAAGAAACCCATGAGTAATTGGTGCCTAGATAATCCAAGGTAATCTCAGATCTCATTGTTGAATTCATAACTTCGTCACATCTGCAAAGTCCTTCTGCCATGTGAGGTATTTTAAGGGGCCATTACTCTTCCCGCCAGAGCCTCAGTTTCCTCATACAGAAAGAATGATGTAATGCTTTAGTGTGTATCTTTAGCATACTTTTGCTCTGTATATATTTTTTAAAATGAAATCATAATATCTATTGTTTATGATTTGCTTTCTCCTACTATATTAGCACTTACTTTTACGGTCCTCCACTCTACCAGCTGAGCTGCTGAAGGCTCTGCTTAGCACTTGATTCTTAAATATTCTTCAAAAACATGAGTTTTAATATCATTGCAGTATTCGTCTCCACTTACATGACACTTTCTTTAAAACTTTCCTATTATTAAACTTTAATATATTTGAAATATTGTAATTTTGTGATTAGCCTGTCTACATAAATCTTTTTTATTATTTTTTTCATAATTTTTCAAAAGTATATTTTATTAAAATTTTAATTTGCTAGCATATAGAAAACAAGTTCTATGAAAATATTATTGTAATGATTTTCTGAACTGAAAATTTCCTTGGAAGTTAAGAAGGCTAACCTGTTCATTTCACAACTGAGAAAAAGATGACAAATCCAGAGTAATGTAACAGAAAATAGTTCAATTTGACCATTTTAATTAAAGTGTGATGACAGATCTCACAGAAATAGCACAGACTTTGGTATCCATGAGATATGGTGGAAAGCACACTTGTGATAAGTGAAGGAAATAATAGCACAAGTGGTTGTTGGGTGATTGGATTCATTAAACTAAATGGCTAAATTGAGCAGTTAAAACATATTGAGGCTAAAGAAACTAAGGTTCCTTACTGCCGGGGAAAGTATTTATCTTTATTTTTAAGCATGGAGAAAATGAAGTCTAGAAAGAATTTTGAGACATTAGAATATTGTTGAAAATATCTGAAGGAATTCATTGTTTAAAAAATGTCTTCTGATAGACTTAGAAATAGTTACAGATATATGTCCATACATGTGAGAGAGGACACAAACGATAATCTAGGAGACAGTATTTGCAACATGTAGATTGAAGAATGAGTCCTGTATATATAATGAGCTTCTATGAATCAACATTTTTATAATTCAGTTTAAAAGGGACAAAAATTATGACCAGACAATTATTTTTGTGACCAGACAATTAAGTGGAGATAGGTAGAAGGGCTAACAAATATCAGTAATAAACACTGATTAAAATGAGATAACGTTCATTATTGCTAAACATGCAAAAGTCGAGAGGCTGAGAATATGTCCATCTCCTTGCTGGCATCACAGGAATACCAATCAGAATACTGGGGTGCCTGAGGCGATATCACTTTCAACATGATTAGAAAATATGCCTGCGTTTGTAAACTGTACATAGAGAACATACTCCCTTTGCTAATGTAGAGATGGTGGTCAGTGAGAACTTACTGCAGGCACCCGTGACCATATATTCCAATATTAATAAGGAAAAAAGAATCCATAATATGAGAACTGGAGAGTCTTGTGTTTATATGGATCCATTTCCCTCATCTGACTATGAGCGCCTCTAAACACCTGGCAACACCTTCCTGCACTGCTAGAAAACTATGTGCTCATTCATCCAACACATATTCCCTGCACAACCATGTTGACACATGCAGATACTGGCTAGCAAACAACGGGGAATACAAGGAGACACTGGGAGCTTGTGCCTACAGGTGAAGGCACATAATCAGATGATCACAGAAACAAGTTTAAATTGCCACTGTGACAAATGATAGGAAAAGTTTGGTAGATAATGATATGATAACCCAAAACAGGAAATTTGCTGTTGGCAGGGAAGTCAGGAAAGGCTTCTCTAAGCAACTATGGCCTATGATGAAATATTACAGGTAGGAAAAGAGGTTAACGCAGTCAGAAGAAAAGGCAAGGGCAGAGGGTGGTGCTTCAGTATCTAGGATGCCAAGAAAGGAGGATGAAGTTTGAAGCCAGCATTTCAGACTGAGGGTAGCATTTTTCTGCCAGAGAGAGGTCTAATGAAAAAGAGAGACTGAGGGAGTCATGTCAGGGGACCAAAGAAGGATCTGAAATAGAGAAGGCTGCTCAGATTTACAGATGGTGTGGGATATCATTCTCAGGAGCCCATAGAGGTGGTAAGCATTGTGTCTGGAGGAGGTCCCTCTCCTAGTACAAGTCTTCCCATCTCAAGCTCAAAGAACAAGAGGTGAGCTGTCCCACAGTTTCATCTTCTCTCGCACCCCAGAACCCACAGGCTCCATCCTTCCTTAGGACATATGCTTGCAAAGACACATTCCTCCCCTCTCCCCACCCCACCCCTCCCTGATGCTCCAGTCTTTCACAGGGGGTATGGTTTCTGTCCTCCTTCCCTGGGGAGGTTCCTGAATGCCTTTCAGTCTGTCCTTTTCTCTCAGTCTTGTGGGTCTGGGAACAGAATGTAAACCCAATGGGGGCAAATGGAAAATGGTTATTGAGCAAACCCCAAACTACGTAAAACATAAATTCTTGCTTTGAGACCATCATCCAACTCTAGTAGCAAACATAAAACTGAACAGGGAATATAAAACACCTACAGTTTATTTACACACAGAACTTCAGCCAGAGGTCTAGACACCCAACATGAAAAGCAGAGGAAAAAAACATTTAAAGAGTGAGTCCCATGAAATAGTAAATTTAAATATTATCATTCTAGGGGAGACGAAAGCATAGTCAAAAAAACGTCTGAAATTCTTTATAGAAAACATTACATACCAATGCCACATGTCCACTTGAAGACTATCACACATGTAATTTTGAATAAATAAAGTATACATAGAATATATTATATAATACGTGCACTACATATGCATGCTACAATGTTATATAATAAACATTTGATTTTCATATAATATATGTAAAATCTCTAAGACAGTTAAAAACACGGAATGGAACTATATATTGCTTCCGGTGTCTCCATGTCCGCTAAAAGTGTAAAGATGTATAAATTATCAACCCCTACATTTCAGCTGGACATTCCCACCTATCCACAAGGAGGAGGAAGAGCTACATGCTCAGCAAGGGGTACCCAGGACTGGAGGTGCTGTTGATGTCATTTTACCTTTAGGTGGAGATAAGGCATATGATATTCACTGTATGATTACTTAGACCTTTTTGTTTCTGAAATACTTCCCAATATTTGATTTAAATATATTTAAATATTTCCCAATATATGATTTAAATAAAATGTTGACAATCTGAGTTGTTAGTGAACTGTTGGCAGGAAAAAGAACAGATTACTCATTTCTTAACTCTTTTCTCATTCTTATCTCATTTCTATTTAACAACACAGTGTAGATATGCTCAGTCCCTGCACAGTATGAAATAGTTTCCCAGTATGACAGAGGCATAGCACCAATGGACAGAAAGGCCCAATTAACAGAGCTGAGATGGATGAGTTTCAGCCATTTAAACATCTACCTTGCATGAGTGATGTAACATTGGCCCTGTATTTATAGACAGAAAGCATGTTCTCCTTTAGGTTAGCATGCATGGCAAGGGTGCAGATTTACAGTCAGCTCATTAGAACATAGTGAGTGTTGGATGCTCTCTGATCCTGTCTGCTGCATGGGTGTGAGGGAGATTTTAGTGTTCAACTTACCTGCTGCTCTAAGGTGCTTGGATCAATAAAAGTCACCAGATCAACAGAAAAGAAGCCAACCACATCTTTCTGTTTGCAGGCGTTTCCAATTTGGAGGCACAAAGAACTGAGAACTTTGGGATCCACTGAGGTCTGAGGCATGGTGGTTCCAGAAGAAATAAAGGGGCCGTTAGCATGGAACTGGTCCCCCACGGACAGCACTCTGACTTCTCCATCAGGCTCTATCAACATGTCTATGGTGAGGTTGGTGACACTGTCTGCAGGTGGGTATGCTTCAATCACGCCACCTGGTGTAGATGAAAGACAGAGTCAAGGTAATGACCCACTTACAAGAGCAAGAAATGGTCTATGTCTCCGGAGGGGGACTTGGATTCAGATCTTACACCTGTCATATCTTGGGAAACTTTGGGGAGTAGCTTCAACCTTGGGCTTGTTTTTCCTTATTTATAAAAGGGGGGGCATAATATCTACCTTGATGAGCTTTTGTGAAGTTTGAGAAATTAAGTCTCTGGTATTTAGCCTGGTACTTGGAACCTGGGATGGCTCAATCAACAGTAGCCTTGGTTATGTTCATAATTAGAAACACTTATAAATGCCATACTTAGAAGTACTCAGTACATTAACAAAGAATCCAAGGATTATGGTCAAATCTCTGGGAGGGAATCGACTCCCCAATGTCCACTGTTTCTATCCTAGTGACTCGAATGCTCTTTCTGTCTAGTGTTACTGCTTTTCTAAGGTTTGATAGGTGTGAGCTTTTAATGGGCATAGAAAACACTGGCCATCATGCTGGCCATAGGATTCCAGAAAAGTCAAATGCAGAGACGGGGCAGATGGTCCAGTTAGTAAAATGCTTGCCACAAAAGCCTGAGGATTTGAGTTTAACCCTCAGTACCCGTGTAAAAACTGGGTGTGGTGGCACGTGCTTGCAACCCAGTGCTGGGAGGCAGAAACAGAAAGATCCGAGGTTTATTGGCTAGTGAGTGTAGCTGAATCAGCAAGTCCTGAGTTTTGTGAGAGACTTGTCTCACCCCCTCCCCCAAGAAAGCAATCTGGCTGATGCAACATCAGCCTCTGTCTCCATATACATGTGCATGTACTCCAACACACATGCACACACAAAGAGAAAGTGAACAAGCAGCAGGACTTTTCCTAAGTAATAGTTAGGCAGTGATTTCTGTCCATCTCCACAAACCACACTTGAAGCAGTAGCATATATAGTTAAATTCTGAAAATTTTAGCAGATTTCTAAGGCAGTCATATAAGAGACATTTTTATTCAATGTCTATGAGTTTGGTAAAAGGTAGTCATAATGAATGTTAAATTTCAGAAGGAAAATGATTTTTTGAAGGATGGATACTCTATCTTTTGGTTTTGTTTGAGATGTTCTTCAAATGAGGTCTGCTATAGTGTATAACAACTGAGTGCCAGTTGTTGGGGATTTAATAAGATGAACGCAAACAAACAAAACCAAGCAACTTAGTGAGTCTCTATGGTTCAGTTAACTTGGTGGCTTTGTCTGTCACATAATAATTCATTGATATCCTTTACGATTTGGAAGATCACTTTAGGTACTGTGGAGGTTTGAATGAGAAATGTCCCCTATGGGCTCACATAGTTAAATACTTGGTCCTCTGTTGGTGCTGCTGTTTGGTGGCTTATGGCGCCTTGTTATAGAGGGCATCACTGGGCTGGCTTTGAGGCTTTCTGGGCTTGCCCTGCTTTGACTTTGCCCTCTCTGCTTCCTACTTGAGGTTGAAAATGTGATCTCTCGGTTTCCTGCTCTGATTGCCTGCTGCCATTCCCCCCTCAGTATTATGGACTCTCCCTCTGGAACCAGAATCAAAACCAACTCTTTCTTTCATAAGTCATTTTTGGCATCGTGTTTATCACAGCAGCAAAAGGTCAGCAATTTTTCAAAGTGCTTAGTGCTGTCTTCAGAGATCATGACCTTTCACTGTTTGTCTTTTCTTTTTAAAGCAATTTATTTTTTTCCAAAAACGTATTCTTTGACTTAAATCTGTAAGTGTATAGAAATCAAAACTGTAGCACTTTTTGTGTCCTTAAGCACACTCAAGACAATAGAAATGGGATGAAATAGACAATGGTGGAAGCTGCTGGAGAATGGTAACCTTAGAGCTGGAACGTGAGGGGATGTCCTGCTCAGCCAGAAAACACACCAGGCCTGCTGTGTGCACTAGGCCCGGGGCCACAAGAACCTTCAAAAATGTATTACTTATAAGAACCAGATTTAAAACATACTAAAACCATAGGGCCTGTGTTGCCATTCACTACTTATCTGGAATGTGATTTTTCCCCCACACCTTTTTTTTTAATTATTAATTACAGTTTATTCACTTTGTATCCCCTTTCCCCACACCTTTTATATTTGAGCCTCAGTTTTTTTCCTCTGTGAATTAAGTTAATAAAGCCTGAGCTGCTTCTTATCCCAGCACAGTGCTTATAACGTAACGGAGGAAGAAGGACAGAGATGAACAGGAAGGAGGTGGTATAGGGAAGGCCTTGGCTGTGGCCTAGAGGAAGGATTTTCAGGCCAACCTTGGACATATGTAAGCTTCCTAATACTCTGTCTAAGATGGACCTGGAGTTCTTCATAATTTTCCCTCTTAGCTCAAATCCCTTCTTCTAAACTTGTTTACTTGCTTGCTTGTGGAAAACACTGTTTTCTTCCAATTCCAAATGAAACTGACTTCTTACTTTCTCTTTTCTGTCCATGGGTATAGGTGGACATTTTTTGATATGCATACTTACAGAGAGGACACTGAAGGTGCCCTAACATACCTATATACACACACAGACACACACACACAGAGAGACACACACACACACACACATCAAACCTCCCTGAGCATTCTTGTTAGATGGCTGGCATCCAACCTCTTATTTAAATATTTCATTAACAGGGCATCTGCCACACTCTGCCCAGCCAAAGTATCCACCAACCAAGGAGCCTGACCTTTCTGACAAACCCCTTTCATATAAAGGGCTGAATCATGTTCCTGATGAATATACTCACTGGCTCTGGCCAAGACTCCTACAGGAACCAGGATAGACTTTTTATGGGCCCTTCTATGTGTTGGTAGATTGTTTGGAGTAATGTAATCTTTTGTTCCTTAGACGCCCTGTGCTCTGAATAAGGGTTATAGCAGTACTCATAGTAGTGATAGGAGGAGGAAGTAAGATAATGTGTATCTACTTAGGATGGTGTTGGCATACAACTGCTACTGTGTGTGCAGTGTGTCTCATTGCTGTGATATTAGTGTTGTGTTGTTGTAACATGATAGCATTATCAGTTTAGCATTGTAGATGAAGGCCAGTGTACTAGTATCACCATCACTCAACAGCAGCACATAGATGTATTAAGCAGACTATGTGTGCCTCACGTTGCAGCCTCCTAGGGAGGGAGAGCCTTAGCCTAGATATGTCCTTATGTGACACACAGAGGTCTCCAGAACTACAGATACTCTTTACTTGTTCTATTCATCTCCTCATTAATGGCCGACCTCCCAAAGTTATTGAAAATGAAGATAAGGAAGGAGGGGGACTGTGAAAGGACTGGAGGCTGGTTTTATTCCTAGACTGTAGAGGATTCTGGTTTGGAACTGCTACCTTTCTGACCTACACTATTTCTGCTCTCCTAGAAAATGGGAGAGAAAATTAGCTTTAGTAAAGACCTTTTGCTATCAGTCCATGATAGAAACTTTCCTGTTTCTATCCCTCAGTTTCCCCAGCAACCATATGCAGTAGGTAATGGAGGCAACTGGATCTCGGAGGACTGTTCAAGGTCACTGATGTAGCTCAGATGGAGGGTTTCTACTCAAGTCAAGTCTGGTATGGGAAGTGCCCAGAATGCTGAGTTCTGCATGGCATGTTTGACATGCTCAGTTCCTATTTACTTAAGAGGCTGGGTACAAGATAAATATTTAGGCAGGGTTTGAAAAAGAACAAAGACGGGGCAGAAGCATTTTCTACACCAACATCAGCTGATGCAGAGTATTTGTGTTGGCTTGACCCAGAACTAGAACCTAAGCTTGTGCATACTGATCCTCAACAGAAACTTTACAGTCTTATTTACCTTGAGTGAGAAATGTTTGGAGGAATTTTCTCCATGTCGGGAACCGTTTCTCATTGACTGGCTGTACGTGCTGTGTTAAAATGCCCCCCATCTCCGCGGAGATTTTCACCAGAGATGTCTCCTGCAGAAACAAATTAAATAGAACCACAAGCAATTTTACTACAGAAATGAAAACTGCTTGTGGAGTGATTAAAAACCAGGCCTCCAACAGGCAAAAAAAAAAAAAAAAAAAAAAAAAAATGTGGTTACTGTTTACCCAGAGCCAGAAAACCATTTTGAGATTGTTCTATTTTTCCAGCCATTTCACCTTTCGTATTTCAAAGTGATTCCTCCTCCTTGAAATTGATGCTAACTGTCCATATTGTCTCCAAAAGGCACCTTGTGCAGGTCATCAGGAACCCAGGCTTCAGCCCCACTACTGACCTGCAGAGTTGAGTCTCAGTTTCTCCTTCTGTCAAATGAGAGCTGAATATCTTATTCTTAGCTCCTTTATATTTTTGGTGTGAGCCTACCCTTTAATGGCTGAGCCACCTCTCCAGTCCTTCTTAGTTCCTTTAGATGAGAACAGTTTTATTCTACAAATCTAACTGCACTTGAGTCTAGGAGGAACAAGGGAGTTGGTAAGGTCGTTCTCTGGCACATCTGTCTCTTTAATCTGTATGCACCCTGTTGGCGAATAGCCTCTGACAGTGTTGACAGGAAAGCCTAAACTCTTGGCTGAAACTGTAAAGGCGGGGTCTTAAGTGAGGGGACAAATTTTAGGTCCCCATGCAGACCACAGTATCGTCAGTCAAGCTGTATGGGTGGTCCCTAGCCCTTCATCAATGACCAGACCCAGAGACAACAGACCTCCTGTCAGATGTGAAAACAGTAGGAAGCTCTCTAATCAGTAGGAAGGCTATCCCCTTTATTGAAAAGGTGTGACTCTGCCCTTTCAAGTAGAAGCCACAGTTCAGATGTTATTTCTACCAGATGCAGGGCAGGGCACTGCATTTAAGCACATTGATGGTTAGTATTCATGTTCCGATGCAGAGCAGGGACAAGCAAAGCTCAGCTTGTTTGGGGGTCTTAGGCAAACTATTAATTTAAAAGTGAACACTGAGTAATTTTTAAGAATCAGCTCTAAGGGTGAGGCTGGTTGTAGTTGTAATCCTAGAAATCATCTGCATACTCATTTTTCCCAATTTTCCTAACATTAAAAAGTGATTGTCCTCTATCCTTTACTTTCTCCCAACTCCTTGAAACATCTGGTTGGTTCTGGTTAAATGCACACTGAAAATCCAGAAGAAAAGACAAACATGATAGGCAGATCCAAATAATCTGAATTATTTTGTAACCATCCAGAAACTCCTATGGGTTAAGTGTCATTAATCAGCCTCAGTTAGTGATTGATATTCAAAACAAAAACACACTGAGAAGTAGAGTGCTTTGACCCTCCCTTATTTCAGGATGATTTGCCAGCACAAGGTGCAGAGTCTTCCTAGAAAGGGCTAGAGAAAACTGCTCATGCAGTAAACCTCTGCCGTGACATGTGGAAGCAAGGAAGAGGATCATCAAAGCAATGGGTCTTGTTGCCCCCATTCATACCCTGTACACTGTGCATGTCTACTCTCATTGTTACTGTCAATGAATACCCCGGTGGTGTCAAAGCTTTATGTGGAAATCCTGAGCAAGCAGCTCCGCATGGGGAGCCCTTATGTTCTCTGAACAACCCTCATTCTCTCGTCTCACACTTGTTTTAGTTCAAACATTCTGCTCCATGGAGGAAAACTGTCTCTAAATGGAAGCCAGTGAAGCCTAGCTTTAGATTCTTCCCTTTTCTAGAAAACTGAATGCCAGAGAAAAGAAGCCTCATAGGCCAAGCCTCTCTGGGAAAAGTGGAGAATTCTCTTTCTGTTCTGCTTCCTCTTTTTGAAAGGAAGTGGAACCATCTACTCAGTTACATGCTATATATCCATTTAAGTAGCTGTACTAGAAGAAAAAGTTATGAGCTATAGGGCTGTTTTGCAAAGGAAAAAGAGAGAGGAAACAGTGAGGGAGCAGACGAAAGCCCTGTAAGCTCCATTTAGAAGCTGTCTGTCCTTCAGCTTGCAGGCCAGGTGCCAGCTCCGCAGCAGGACATCCACAAGACCTGTGCAGAAACTAAGTGCACACAGGTGTACAGTTGACACGAAGAGGGTTTGCACGCCAACATACCAAGCAAACAAGCAAACAGGAGCCTCTGTGACATGCCTGCTCTCTACTAAAATAGTCTCGCCTCCCTCAACTCCTTTGTCACCTTCCCTAGCTTGCGCCCCTTCACCCTTTTTTCCCCTAGAAGCCTTCTCCCCTACTGCACACAGGTGTCTTCCCTCTCAGCCCTTCATATCCTCTAGCTCTTTTATGACAAAGACATTAGCTTTGAGACCAAATTTCCCGCGCCCAGAACAACCACCATTCATGTTTGCACAACGAATTGTGATAGTAGTGAACATAAGGAGATGGTCCTTGATAGCTAAAGTCACAGAATAAAAGAAGTGGTGAATCTCTCAATAGACTTCCTCCTTACTGCCAAGGAATCACCTCAAGGGCCAGCTACTTTAGAGCCTTCAGTTCTTCTAGGGTGGATTTTACAAGATTCCCTGCCTCCAAGGGCTTCAGAAAGATGAGGTGACATATATGGAATCAGCTCTGTTGCAACATGTTATGTGAGGGTCAGTAACTAATTTCCAAGGCTTCTGGACATGGTCCCAGGCTGCCACTGTTACTCTGCTCACAAAGTGAGCCACTCTGCCACAATGCCTAGCATTTGCCCTGTGCACAAAACACAACCAGGAGGTAGATTTTCAGAAGGAAAATTTGCTACAGGAGCCTGGAGGGTGCCTTTTGTCATCTTGAGAAGTACAGAACTGACGGGACTGACAAGGAGGCGTTCAGTGTGGATGCTGGGGCACTTAGCAGCAGCTTGAGGTCATGATTAGCTCTCTAAAGAAAAAGGTCTGGCAAGTAATAATAGGGGCCAGAGGGGGTAATATTAACTATCTAATTTATTTCTAATGGGATGAATAAGTTGTAAACTAATGCCTTAGTACCTATGGCCTTAGTGCCCATGAAGAGACTTACTTGTTCCTTCATCTCTACAAAATAACAACCATAATGACAATGATGGTAATTTGAGACTTGCAGCTCACACATTCAAGTGAGGAAGGCTGTGCACACATGTGTATGTCTATCACAGGTCTGTCTGACCATCGTAAGCCAGGAACAGAGGAACAGTTTTGCAAACTTACAGAACTAGGGAGCTCTGTTTAGTGAGTAGTGACAAGATAATGGGTGACCAAGTCAGTGTTTCAGAGATCCTGCCAGTGACTCTGGGGTGTGGGAGAGAAAAGATATTTCTTGTGAATCATAAATAAGTGATAGAAAATTGTGCTTTACTCTTTGAAAGATGCAGGATTCCACGACTTCCCTTCCTCAAGATGGGACTGGTTCTGGGATGTACTCACTGCTGTCCTCTGGAGCTCACAGCTGGAGGGCATTTCCTATTCTTAGCCTACCTTGGTCACTTCAGAGGCTTGCTCATTTGTATTCAAGAGCCCAGAACTGTCCCAGAGTTCATGAGTAATAGTAACGACCTGGAAAGTTGTAAGGCATCTTCAGAAAGCATATGGTTCCTATTGCCGACAGAGAGTAGAGACTCCTTTCTAGTAAGCTGGACCTTCTTGGCTTTCTTTATTTCTGTCAAGGAAATGCAAATTTGAAGGAGCAGATATGTTGACTGAGGGAAGTACAGGGTATCTTAGCGGAAGCTGCCAGCACACTCAATTGAACACTGCCCTCGATGAAAGATACTTCCAACTCTCCAGAGTTTTCCCAGCTAGCGTGTGTGTGTGTGTGTTTGCTGGATGGGGGAAGAAGAAAGAATGGTACAAATTAGATTACTCAGTCTTACCAAGACTCATATTTCATTTTTGTAGCTTCTTGACTACACTGTAAGTAGTACACTAAGGAAAATAACTTCTTCATTAACTTCCAGTTTCCCCCATCAGATATTGTTTGGTCACGTCCAAAAGAAAACCAAAGAAACATTTTTTAATCTTTTGATTGGGACAGAGTGTAAGGAAATTCTAGATAGTTTTATCTGCCTAGAGAGTTTTGCTTTCTAGATGTTTCCAGTAACTCTGAAAGGAGGACTGGACAGTGACACAAAGTCAGTCAGTAAGATTGTCAGTTTAAAGGGGGCCTGTGGACTACTCAGGACAAATGCCTCGTTAACAGAGGTTAACATTCCTCTCAGAAATGATTCTTCATTATTTTTTGCTATGGAAGGCTGATTGAGGGGGAATTACACTCTCACCTCAGTGAAGCATAGCCATGGCTTTGCACAATGGCTGGTCAGTCACTTGCTAGGAAACACTTCCTGGGGCCTCTGGAAAGAAGTGTGTGATCTTCTGAGTTGCTACCCAGTGAGCTATTCTCCCTTTCTATCACCTGGACCAAGAACAAGTTCTGGAAGTTACTGGCAGCTATTCTCCAATGCTGAGAACAGCCAGCCTTAGGAAGAAACCAGCCTTATGCATAGTTCAAAGAAGAGATGAAAACTGTGGGTTCTTGGTTACATTACTGAGCCACTGTCTGGAGCCAGAAAAGTCTTAGGATTTCCAGATAGCCAAGGCCAGTTTCTCTTCATATGAAAAGCCATTTAAGTTGAGGTTGTGTTACTTGAAGCTTAAACGTTTTAAATGGATGCAACAAATGGGTGGGCAAAAGCATGTCCTCACAATCTGAAATGTAGGTGCTCTGATAACCCAGCATAGCGATTACTTCATTCTACAGTCAGTAGCCAAGTTCTCACTCATTCCTTTCCACCAAGATCATTAGGAACAGTCCCTTTTTAGGGTGCAAAAATATGTTGAAAGGATGATGAGAAAAACAAAAAATGTCTCCAGCAAGTCAGAAACTACATCCCATACCTACTTAAAGTTTAAGGACAGCTTTAATACTCCATGTTTAATTGTTAATGGAGAATTTAAAAATCAAAAATGCCAAGTTTGTCTTCGATGAGATGGAAAATTATGCTGCAGTAGAAAGTAACATAATGTAAAACAACCAGCATTACCAAAGCACACAAATGTTTTTGGT